GGGGGACGGGACATCCAACGATGTTCCAAGCAGCAAAGATGCCCTTGAAGAGTGACATTTAAGCAGAGCAGTGAAGGGCTGTTAGAGGTTGGCTGGGGCTGAGGTGGCCCAGGGTGTTTTCGGCACCAGGATTGCAGGTGCAAAAAGCATGTGGCCCCAGAGAGCCTCGAGTGAGCAGTGGAGGCTGCCTAAGCTTCATGGGGGAAGGGGTGTGGCCGGGAGGTGGGCTGGGGCAGGACTGGGGTGGGAGCAGGGTGGTTTCTGCACATCCTGCCAGGAATTTAAGGCTTTATTTAGAAGGGTTTGCAGCCTTTAGGATTTTTAAGCAGGGAGAGGACGCAGTCGCATTTGGGTGTAGGGAGGTCACTGCCGCAGTGGGCGGGGTGAGTGGGGAACTAGAGCCCGGTCCTTGTAGTCAAGGGTCAGACGGCCTGGCCCAAGAAAGGCAGTGGCTTCGGGAGGGAGAGGTGTGGGTGCAATGCAGGCATACTAAGGAGGGGAAGGAAGGCCGACTCCCAGGTCCCCAGCTCTGGGCCAGGTGGTGTGGTGGAGACAGGGAAGCTTTGGGTAGGCATCACGGGGCCCGCCTGCTGGAACCAGCCTCTCGGAGCCTCTGTCCTTCCTGATGAGCGCTCGCTCGGCCTCCAAGGCCTCCACATTGAACTCACTTTTGGCTTTCGCCCTTTGGGCCTGGGTGGGAAACAGGCAGTCTGGGAGAACTGCACCGTGGAGAAGGCAGGCTGCATAGGGGTTGCTCGCATGTTCTGTTAAAACAAAAGGCACCAAGGCATGAAGAGAAGCATTCATGGAGCCAAGGAAGCTCAGACAGGCAGGGGCCTGGGCCAGAGGGAGGAAGCCAGGCAGGCCGGGGAGGGTGTTCAGGATCATGCAGAGAGGCAGAGGGAGGATTCGGCTCCAGTGAGGGACAGCAAGCCAGTGAGCTCCTGCCCCACCCTCCCCCACCCTCCTCCATCTTTCTCCTTCGCCCTCCCTTCGCCAGGCCTGTGGGGAAAGAGTTGGGTAGGGAGGAATTATGAGAGATTAGGACGAGAGAGAGAGAGAGAGGAGCTTGGACCCAAGGAGGGCCTGCTGTGTGCTTTTCTCATCTCAGGGAGCACCAGGACCAAAAATGGTGATAGCGGTCCCCCTCAGCCTCCTGGGGCCCTGAGGGAACATGCGCCCAGCATACCCCATTCTCCCAGTTTTCAAAAAAGCCAGAAATCCTGGCTTTTTTTTCCTCACCTTTTTTTTCCCCTTTAATTGTGGTGACACACGTGTGAATTTACCATCTCAACCAATTTTAAGTGTATGGTTCCAGCGGCATTAAGTACATTGGCACTGTCATGCATCCGTCACCACCACCCACTTCCAGAATGCAAAACTTCTTCTCCTGGCCTTTTAGATGCTGGCAACACGTTCGAAAATGTTGACACACGGAGAGGGGCCAATAGACCCTGGCGTGGGCCCAGGCAGGCCGTCTTGTGAGCTCACTGAATTCACCCAATAACTCATGGGGCAGCAGTGGCTACGCCCCGTCCACAGATGGGGAAACTGAGGCTGGGAGAGGCACAGTTGCTTGTGTAAGATCTCACAGCTGGTGATAATGGCAGAGCTAGGCATCTGAGCTAGATTCAGTTGGATTCCCAAGCCTGGGTTCTTTCTAGAGCCACGTGGCCTCCTAAGCATGGTGGAAATAGAGAGTGACAGAGAGCGGTGGCCAGAGTGTCTGGGAGACTGAGACGAGGGTTCTGGACAAAGACAGTGAGTAACACAGAAGGACAGGACAGGGGAGCTGGAGGTGTGCTCCCAGAGTCACCTGGGTAGGACATTGGCTGCTACCATTGGGCCCTCCCAGCAGGGCCTACGTGCAGCTAGACTGGGCCCTGCACTCAGCCCTGAGACAGGTGCCAAAGGGACATTCTGACCTGGAAGCCGATGTAGGACAGGTGCACAGCACCGCTGATGGAGAGGGTGTCCACGCGGTGGAAGGGCACGCGGTGTGAGTACTGCACAAAATGGCTCCCGTTCACTGTCACCTGTGAAGACAAGTGCATATTCCAGAACAGTGGTCTCAGGCCAGGGCGGGGGACCTGAACCCCTGCTCCCAGGAATTAAGACCTGTGTTTGGTTTTCACATCTGTCCCCCAGGGGTCAGGGACACCAGCCTTCAGAGCTGTGCCAGTTGTAAGAACATGGCCTATGATCCAAAGTGCATCGGAACCCAGTCCCTACTGGGCTCTACTGGGCTTTTTAGTGCTTACAGTCATTTGTTTATTGCAATCAGTTTACCTTTCTTTTTTTTTTTTTTTAATTTTTTTTTAATGTTTATTTTTGAGAGAGAGAGCACGCACGGGTGGGGGAGGGGCAGAGAGAGAGAGAGAGAGAGAGAGAGAGAGAGAGAGAGAGAGAGAGAGAGAGAGAGAGAGAGAGGGAGACACAGAATCGGAAGCAGGCTCCAGGCTCCGAGCTGTCAGCACAGAGCCCAACGTGGGGCTTGAACTCATGAACCATGAGATCATGACCTGGGCTGAAGTTGGATGCTTAACCAACCGAGCCACCTAGGTGCCTCAATCAGTTTATCTTTCTAATGTTAGCTCATTGAGGTGTTTAAATATGCATAAGCATGTTCATGGGGAGCAGAGGAGAGGCAGGTTGTACACTGAGGGGACGGGAACATCCATGCTCGCACAGAGAAGGACAGACATGGGGACACTCACCCCCCACCTGTCTCCCAAGCCCAGAGACACTACTCTGCTTACGTAATTTGCAACACCGTGTAAAACTAAGCCATTGGCAGAACCCGGACAAAGGCTGCAACAATATTAGCAAAAACCAAACGTTAGCAGGGACCTGCAGGGGAGGAAAGCCTACAGCAAAGGAATGGAATGAACTAGAACTTTAAAGACCCACAAGGCCCAAAAGCGCCACGGTGATTTACCCAGTTCCTATTTCCTGAGTAAAAGCAGCAACAGGTGTCCCTGTAGATGTGCAGGTGAAGGTGTGTGAGCAGACTGTGGCCATCGCTAACGTTCTTACAAGGCAAACGTCCTGCCATCTGTATAATGGCATTGCTCACGTGGCCATTTAAAAGCTCACGTGACTTCTGATGGCTGCTCACCGCACCTGATAGGGCCGGGAGGGAGGGGAAGGAGGCAGTGGGAAGGCGGGCGAGGGGGGGCTGCTTCTCACCTTGAAATTGTAGCTGTCCACCAGGAAGCAGAGCTCAAATGGGTTCCCCATCTGGAAAGGCATATGCATCTTCCTCTCCTCTGGCCCCCAGCATCCGTTCTGCTTTGTGTTGCAGACCACATACCCGCCCTCTTCGAACCGTGGGTTGAAGTGGAAGGCAATGTCATTGTCGCTGGGGCCAGAATGAAAGTTCACAGCAAACCTAGGCAGAAAGAGATTCCGAAGCCTGGTTTATTGCCAAGTGGGGGGAGGGAGGCTCACGCCCTTGACTTGGTCTGTCTGCGAACTTGCATACAACCTGCATGGCAGGTTTGGACCCATCCTTAGTTTGTTGCCATCCTTTCTGTCCACCTAGCTTGGACTTCATGTGTGTTTGTGCAATTGTTGCATGCTGCCCTTACGGTATGATTTTCTAAAAATACGTAGAACACGGGTAAACAAAAATAGTGGACGCTTTCACGCCAAGTGGATACTCGGAGGCCAGCCCCCATCAGCTCAGTTGGGAAAGAAGAAAACCAATTCAAAGGCGATGCAGAATTGAGGGAATAGGCCTCCAGATCTGGTTTCTAAGGCACAGAGTAAGTAGTAGCTCTCTGTCTCTCACTGGAGGTTGGCGTGCGTCCCACACATGACGTGCGGAGTGGTGGCCCCGAAGTCAGCAGGTCTGGACCCAGACCCCAGCTCTACACTGCTCGTCATTTGTGACGGTTCTGAGCCACACTACCCTCAAGTCACCATCACCAGGGAGGTGAGTTACTTCCTTCGGGGATGCTTAATGAGGCGGTGTTCTGGAAAGCCCCACCCAAGTCCATTTCCATTCCTGCCTCTCCTCGGAAGCAGCCTCTCACTATCAAAACTGCCTTTGGGTACAGCCTATGGCTCCGAGGTGAGGGATTAAAACGAAGAACCTTCCAAGGAGCCTCGCTCCCAGAAGGGGCACAGTAAACATTTGTTCTGTCTCTTCCCAGACAGAGCTCCCTCAGGTCCTACAACCAAGTTCCAGCCTGAGGCTCTCCTCCGAGGCATCTCTGTCCGCAGCCTTCCCTGAGCTCAGCGAACCAGCGTCGTCTGCCGCCTGCTTCTCGGGGTCACTCCGGTCTCCCCAGCTAACGCACAGTGCTCTCCTGTCACCCACATCCCCCACGGTGCCGGGCTCTGCACCAAGCCCAGAAGCGGCCCTTGAGAGTCATTCTATTAAATTCCTGCAGATGCCGCTTGATTTCTTGCTGGAGGAGCTCTTAGAAAATTTCTGCCTCGGGGCCCCTGGCTGGCTCAGTCAGTTAAGTGTCCGACTTCGGCTCAGGTCACCACGTTACAGTTCATGGGTCCCATGTTGGGCTCTGTGCTGACAGCCCAGAGCCTGGAGCCTGCTTCAGATTCTATGCCTTCCTCTCTCTCTGCCCCTCCCCCACTCATGCTCTGTTTCTGTCTCTCAAAAATAAATAAATGTAAAAAAAAAGAAAAGAAAACGAAAGCGAAAACTCCTGCGTGCAGAAGCTTTGCAGGAAGAAGTGGGGACAGTCTCTGTTAGACAGGATGGGAGTAGAAAGCCATCCTGGTGCCAGGGGAGGGGTAGGCAGAGGGAGAGGGAGAGAGAAAGAAGGGAAGTTCAGAGGTGAGGTCCCGAAGTTCCCTGCTGGCAGGGTTCAGGGGGATCCTGGTGCCTCCCTTCCCTCAGAGTCTCCTGGGGGCGCTCAGGGCTCTGGGACAAGTCCCACGGTCAGCGCGACCATGTCCACCTGGCAGGGAAACGGTGGTGGAGGAAGTCATCTAGAGTCTAGATGCCGAGCTGAGGTAGGGCCCGGCCTGGGAGCGACGTGAAGGTGGGTCCAGGAGGTCCCAGAACCCGTGCCAGGTGGTGAGAGAGAGGACCACAGTGAGCAAGAGACATTGGAGATTGAGGCAGAAAGGCTTCTGAGAGAGGCCGCGGGTCCAGACGGGCTCCCGTGGGCACCGTGGACCTCAGGAAACAGCCCCCATGTACACAGGCCCCGTGCAAAGTGGGCGAGAAGCTGGACTGCAGCAGAGGCCAGCCAAGACCGCCCGAGCTTCTGAAGGGCCTCCAGCCTCTGAGAAGTCGAGTGCCTCCCCGCCTCCCTGTTCCCAGAAATCCCTCCTTGGGAAGGAGGGGGGTGGTGGGAAACAGCACTTAAATGGTGTTTGTGTTTTGGATCGACTTAGTATTTTCCAGAAAAGACCTTGACACTGAAAGCGACTTGCATTTGATGGCAAGTTTCAATATTTCCGTATCAGCCAGATGAGGGCTCCAAAGTACTTAAGGGCAAGTTCAGGAAATAAAGGAAGTGATATTTTTGCCACTCAGTTATGGTGTAGAAAGTTCGATCCCAGAACAAAATCATCTGCTTCTGGGCTGGCCTGCCTCCCTCCTTAAACTATGAGCTCCTGTCACCCCGATGTCTATGGGGAATCTCTGTTAATGGTGCCCAGACGCTACGGGCAGATGACGGTGGTGTCACGCAGATCACCCGGGATCCCCCGAGCCAGACGCAAGCGGCTCCGAGGGTGTAGGGCGAACCCACCTGAGCTGACAGGGGCCACGGTTTGCCAAGGGGTGAGGCTAGAGAGAAAAAAAAAACAGTTCCAGGTACCTGGTTCCATTGTAGTAAAGAACGTTCCCAGTGAGAGTGATTTTAAGTCCATCCTGGAGACCCCCCTGGATTTTCCCAGAGAAGGGGATGATCTGTCGGGAGAAGAGGCAGGTCAGTCAGTGGGCCCACCTCCGTCTCGTCCCCCCAGCACTTGCTAGAGGCGCCTGGGTGTGTCAGCCTCATGGATCCTCCGGGCCTGTGAGGGAGCAGATCTGAGTCCAGATAGTTCCACACACATTCTAAGATTGTGACAGGGAGGCTCTGGGGCTCTGAGACGACGTGATGGGGTGCTGGCCTCCCTTGAGAGTCTGAAAGTGACAACTGCTAAGAGGAAGTAACATGTACATGGCCCCGAGATGGGAAGGAGCCAGTGATGGGAGGAGGGAGTGATGGGAGCGCTGGACCCCAGGTCAAGCTCCTAGCAAAGGCCCCAGAGCCCTGGCTGGGGACTCAGGAGGCCCAAAGGACCAAAAGAGACCACCCATTCTAGAGGATAAACCTTCCACTTGCCTGACAGGTCCAGGAAGAACGCATCCTCCCCTGCTCCTGCCCTCCCCACCCATAGAACCATGGTGACCATGACCTTTGCCCTTCCAGCCACCTCAGGTAGCGCCTCTCCTCAGATGCTCTCTGCAGCCATGAGGCAGCCCCCTCTTCTACTTCCGCTTTTCGGCTCCCCGTTCCTTTCCTCGGGCCCTCGGCAGCCTCCGAAATCCTCCTCCTAGGGCCCCTCAGCACCAGCTTTGTCAAATTCTCATTCCTGGGCCACTTTAAAGGAGCAACGGTTATGGTGAGGCACGCCTCCTTTCAGAGCCAGACGTACTCCAGGTCTGAATGCTAATTCTTTGGCTCATTACCTGAGTGGCCTTGGGAAGCTTATTGAACCTCTCTTTGCCTCAGTTTCCTCATCTGTAAACAGAGGGATAAATCCCCCCCTTCCGTGTCAGTTTGATGATTAAGAAAAAGTCTGCGGAAGAAGCTGGCACCTAGCAGGTGTCTCTCTACGGCCCCCCTTCTTCGATGTTGGGCTCTCTGAGCGAAACCCCAAACTGGTTATTTCTCAACTGTCAAAGCCTAGCTCCAGAATCCCTCTTAATTAATATGGTTGTATAACCTGCATTAGACTGGGAGAGACATCTAGCTCCCCGTCAATTTTCACGCTTAAGTTGTCCACACCTTCTCTAACTTCTCCCCTAGGTCAGTTCCTTGCAAAAATGAAATGCTCACAGGAGCCAGGCCGGTGATATGTGTGAGTGAGATGTCCAGGTAAGGCGAGAGGCGAGAGGGACTGGAGGGGAGTATTACAAACTAGATGTCGCCTCCCTCATCTAACAGGGCAGTGTGCGTTCAGCTCTAACCAGTGATCACCACCCATGCCCTGTGCCGGCAGAGCTCCCAAATTTTTAGAAGACAGAAATCTGGATTTTCTTTTCTGTAAAACTTTCTAAGTTCTGGGGGGAGAATTCTTTAAAAAGGATTTTGGGGGCACCTGGGTGGCTCAGTTGGTTAAGCGTCTGGGGTTCTTGGTTTCGGCTCAGGTCAGGGTCGTGCAGTTCACGAGATCGAGCCCCCAGTCGGGCTCTGTGCTGGCCTCGCGAAGCCTGCTTGGGATTCTCTCTCTCACCCTCTCTCTCTGCCTTCCCCCGCTTGTGCTCTCTCCCTCTCTCAAAAATAAATAAGCATTAAAAAAAAAAAAGAGAGAGAGAGAGAGGGGCGCCTGGGTGGCTCAATCAGTTAAGCATCTGACTTCTGCTCAGGTTATGATCTTGCGGTTTGTGAGTTTGAGCCCCGCGTCAGGCTCTGTGCTGACAGCTCAGAGCCTGGAGCCTGCTTCAGATTCTGTGTCTCCCTCTCTTTCTGTCCCTCCCCTGCTCGTGCTCTTTCTCTCTCTCAAAAACAAATACACATTAAAAAAAGAGAGAGAAAAGAAAAAAATACTCCTGGCAAGCATGCGTCCTTCACTTAAGCACATCCACACTAAAGTGTGAAGAACTAAAAGCAGAGTGTGGTTAGGTGGGTTTATCAGCACACAGAAGGGAGGGTGAGATCGTGGGGACGGGGCAGCACAGGTTAATCCTAAGCAACGATTTCCCCAGAAAGGTTTTGAGCTTTCAATGTGTCTTAAATGGTGTCCCCAAATTCCGAAAACCGAGATTATTTTAAATTGAGTACAACTTTGCAGACAAGGCTATTCAACCGCAGCATTGTAAGAGCAGAGGATTGGAAAGAAAAGTTCAGCAAGAGGATGATGGTGAAGTAAATGGGTTCGATGTAGCCTCCACAAAAAAAGGAAGAGGAAGAAGGGAATTCTTTGAGAACTGATACGAAATGACCCCATTTGTAGAAAAAAACATGGGTGGGAGGCCATATACTTGCATTTACTTATTGATGAGGGAGCAGAAGGCAAGCTGGCAGGTCTCAAACACTGCCCTCCCCCCACCCCCACCCCCGCCCCCACCCCGTGGGATATGTGTGATATTCCTCAGGGACTCCTGGCTGCCTAAGAACAAAGGAAAAGGAAAAAACTAATGATTAACTGATAGAGATCATAGTCACCCTCCATCACCCTCCACAGTGATGCAGGGAACACAGGCAGAAGGAAATGGCAGATAAAACTAAATTTCCTTATAACCTGCAGCCCATTGACGAATACTTGAGGCTGGCGGAGTGAAATGTTTCTCCAGAGACTCCCTACTGTCTTGCTAGAGGGAAGAACAACCTTAGCTGGACAATACGTAGGCCTCCAGTATCCCATGAGTCTCTAGCATTTGAAAATCTCAGTGGAAACTTCCCCTGGACTCTACCTCCCCCAACCCCATAGTATATAACAGGTGTCTCTTCATAGTCCTGGGGCAACAACTCCTGCCTGCAGATCCTGTCCCCGTGCTGCAATAAAATCACCTTTTTGCACCAAAGACATCTTCGGGAATTCTTTCTTGGCCGTCGGCTCCGGACCCCACGAACCCCACTGTCACCCCCAAAACCTCATCTCCTATTATGCATAGAATATCTGTGGATGGATTCAAAGAAACTGACAATACTGGCTGACTCCAACGAGGTCCGGTGGGTTGAATAATTACTACGCCTTCCCCGCCGCCCCAAACGTCTACGTTCCAATCCCTGGACTTTGTGGCTCCCGTATGTCACCTTATGAAGCAAATGGGGATTTGAAAGATGTGATTCAGTTACAGATCTTGAGATGGGGAGTTTATCCTAGATTATCTGGGTGGACCCAATGTCATCACAGGGACCTCAAAGAGAGAGGCAGGAGAACAGAGTTAGTGGTAGGAGGTGTGACAACAGAAGCAAGAAGCTGCTGGCCGTGAAGATGGAGGGAACCCCAGCCGCGGTAGGCAGGCAGCTTCCAGAAGCTGGAGAAGGCGAGGAGAGCTTCTCCCCTGAAGCCTGTATTTTTGGATTTCTGCCCTCCAGAACTGTAAGAGAACAAATCTGCATCGTTTTAGGCCTGGTGGGCCAAGTCTGTTGTGGAATTTGGACCCGTGCACGCGCATGAGAGAGAGAGAGAGAGAGAGAGAGAGAACTCTTGGATTTATGGTCCCAAAGACGTGCCTCCTTGTGGTAACAGCTCTCCTACTGGGCAAGTCACTTGATCTGTCTGTGCCCCAGGTCCCTCCTCAGGACAGTGGGACAATAGCACCAACCTGACCGTGCTCGTGAGAGGATTTGATGGATGAGATGCCACACACTGCCACACACGAAAGCCCCTTGGTTCACAGGCCTTTGACAATGGCAGCTGTTTGCATCAGGATGTGACTCTGCTGGGTCAGAACTTGCTCTCGGCTCCTGGCTGTGCCTGGAGGCTGAGGACCTTCTCCTCCTCTTCTGATCTGGAAGAACCAGGCTCTACCTGCCGGCCTCGGCAGCTGCCTTCTGGAGGAGGCCCAGGGTCACCAGAGGGCTCACGGGCAGGAGGCGGCGGGAGGCTTTCGGCCAAAGGGAGCCATTGCCCTACAGGTTCTGAGGCCCCTCTGGTGGCTGACCTTCCTTCCCTGGTACCTCATTATCCACTCTGAGTGCCACTTTTACAGAGGAAACTGAGGCACAAAAGATTTGGCAGTTGGCCCAAGGCCACTCAGCTGGTGACAAGCATGGGGTCTGAATCCCAGCACAAGGCTGGTCAGGTGAGGCGTATGGGGAGTGGGCAGGAGACGGGGGGCCAGGTTCCCAAGGCGGCCCTCATGGCGTTTCGCTCCTCAGAACAGCTGGGCCGTGGGACCTTCCTGCCACCCTTGGGAGGAAGCAATGTTCCCACAGCTGGATGTCAGCGGGCCACTTGGGAGAGGGCACCCTTGTGGGACAGGCAGGTTTTCCTGGCGCCTGTGGGGACTGCACCCACCCTCTTTCTTGTCTGGACTCCAAGGCCCTGTTTTAACTCACTGTTGCCCGCAGGAAGATTCTCCTTCTCATTTGAAACCCTTGAATGCAAGGATTGGAAAGTAAAAACTAGCCACCAGAATCATGAAATGTCGGGGCCTGTGAGGATCTCTGGGATCCCTCATCTGGTGGAGAATGAGCCCGAAGTGACACATTTTGACGCTGAGAGCCCCATGGAGGGCCAGCTAACTGGAGCCAGGCCCAGCTTCCTCTAGCGACAACCCCCCCCTCCCCCCACCCCTGCCCCGCAGCCTCTGTCAGGCTATCAGCCCAGCCCTTCCGGAAGCTCTTGGCCAAGGCTCAGAGGGGCTCCTACGAAGCCTCCTGGGCCTCCTGGGCCCTGCTGCTTGCCTGCCTTCCCCTGTTAATTGCTCTCTCTCTGTGGGCACCTCTCTCTTCTGGGGGTAAGTCAAGGCACCTCCCTTAGTTGCCACTTAACATCTGGGGACATTTGGCAAGTGGCCTCACCTCCTCTGTTTCCCACGTCTGATGTGGGGGTCGTAAGACTCACAGGGTTTAAACAAGGCCACGGGCAGACGGAGTCTACTCACATGTGGCCAAAGGTTGGAGGGAGCCCCCTGGGCCCCGCTCTGCAGGGACAGCCCCACTCCCCTCTCGTTCCCAAGATGGCCCCTCTGCACACACCCTTGGCCTGCCTCTGCCTTGCTAACTCACCCCTCAGGGAGCAGACACCTCCCCCGGAAAGCGTCCCCCACTGCCTCCAGACTCCTAACAATACAAAACACTTCCAAAGCCCCCTCCCTACAGTGTGCCAGGCACTGTGGCCACACTTTAGATATGCTACCTGCCTAATCCTTACCAACCCTGGGAGGTGAGCCCGAAGATGATCCCCTTTTACAGATGTGGAAATTGAGGCCCAGAGAGGTAAAAGTAACTTGCCTGAGGCCCCCCAGCTAGTAAAATGGCTGGACCCAGGGAGGCCGTCTCCAAAGTAAGCGCCCTCAACCGCCGCGCTGGGCTGTTTTCCTCCCGCGGGAGCCCTGCTCGCTGCCCCCGTGAACATACAAACCACCACTCTTCTCGTTATTATGCCTGCCTCCCCCCTCTTCCCCCTCCCCGCACTTCCCGCACCTAGGACATTTGTCGAAGAGGCATGAATCCCTAGGACGGGCTCCCAGGGGAGCTCCGTGAACCTTTGTCAGAGGCATGAATCCTGGTGGTTGTCAGCCCGCCAGTCCAGTCCGGAGATGCAAGGGAGACCGGCACGGGGTGTGCTGGGACTGCCCCTCCTGGCTCTCTGCTCTTTGCCTTGTGTCCTCTTCGGGACACCTGCCCTCCGCCTGCTGCAACCCACGGGTCATTTCCCCACAGACCCAGCGCTGTTTCCTCCTGGCGGAGGAGGCCGGCTCAGCCGGGGCCAGCCCATGCCAGCACCAGCCATGCCCTCAGCCCCAGAACTCACCGGGTTCAGGTAGGGAGGCTGGGAGCTGCTTAAGGCCATCTCTCCACTGCCCGTGTGGCCCTTGCTGCTCTCCACGGCCAGCCAGGCAGTCAGTTCTCTGCACTGGGAGGAGATAGCCAGGAAATAGAAAGTGAAGCAAACCTACGGTTACTCAGTAGGGAGGAGTCAGAGGCAAGAGGAAGTGGTCTGGAGAAAAAGAGAAATGGAGGGTGTTGAGGGAGGGCTGGGGGTACACTGAGGGAGGAGGGAGCAGACACGCCTCACCTCAGTGACCTTTGCCCTTCCTCTCTCCTGTGCTCCACTCCAACAAACCACTTGTGTTTGGTTCAGACAGATTCAAAGAGCCTGACCTCACTGACATAGCAAGTTTCTAGAGGACACTGTCCACGAGCGTGGGGCCGTGTCTCCTGCGTATGCCCGCCCACAGGGCCCAGAAAACAGTGGGGCTGTGCCGGGCATCGCCCGTGCACGGGGCAGTGGGGGAAGGCCTGCTTCTACCCACTTGCACACAGAGAAACTGACGCTCAGAGTCTAAAGGACACGCCCACAATCACACAGCTCACCAGCGGCCACCCGAGCTGTAGGACACCTGGGTTCTCAAAAAGTATTTCTCCCTTTCAAAATTCTATTCCTGGAACGCCTGGGTGCTCGACTGGTTAAGCGCTGGACTCTTGGCTTCAGCTCGGGTCATGATCTCTCAGTCGTGAGATCGAGCCCGTGTTGGCTCTGTGATGAGCGTGGAGTCTGCTTGGGATTCTCTCTCCCTCTCTCTCTCTCTCTCTCTCTCTCTGCCCCTCCCCCACTTATACTCTCTCTCTCTCCCTCAAAAAATAAAATAAATATATAAATAAATACAAATTCCACTCCTCATATTAAAACACAATCACGTAGAAAGAAATGTTTTTCTGAGCCTGAGTGGCTCAGTCGGTTATGCATCTGACTTAGGCTCAGGTCATGATCTTACGGTTTGGGAGTTCGAGCCCCGCACCGGGCTCTGTGCTGACCCCTCGGAGTCTGGAGCCTGCTTTGGACCTTGTGTCTCCTTCTCTCTCTGCCCCAACCCCCCAGTCAAAAACAAATAAAACGTTTTTTAAAAATTAGAAAGAAATGTTCTTCAAATAGAGGACATGATAATGGAAATTGTTATCCTAGACTGTACTGGTGCCCCGGGAGCTTCAGATCCCCTCTCTTTATTTCTTTCGTCTCTTCTCCCCTCCCCTTTTCCCCCTGGGCTTTATAATGGAAAGAGGACAAGTCTTGGACATAATAGAACATTCCAAGTGACAAGACGGTTGGAGACATATGAAATAAACTGCATTCGAGTGGCTTTAGTACCTAGTGAAAGGAAATGACTGACTGAAGCAGAGACCAGCAGGATAGGCTGTCAGAGGATGGGGTGGGGGGAGGTGACAATAAACTTACCTAGAGCCATGTGGGTCCCTGCACTGTGCTAGGGAGAGGGGCCACGGTCAAGCCTGGAAGAGTGGTTAAGGGTCATCCGGGCACCGGCTGGGTAGAGGTTGCCCTGGGGCCGTGCACAGCTCTGGGCCTCTCTTCCTTTTGCACCTTGCCTAGATGCTCCAGAATTTGCAAAGACTGACTTCTCTGAGATGCTCCCAGAGACTGAGCCCACATGTCCCCCCTGCCCACCCTCCGTCCCCATTATATTCCTGGATCAATCAGAATATGACCAAATATAAGGGGCAGACAATAGATGGAGCAGAAAGGAGGGGCAGGAAAGGAAGGGAAGGTCTCTGGGATCCTTTCGGTGACACCAGGAGAATTTCATCATTGATTGGCTATGGAACAACTGGATGTTAGGTTGGAATATTCACTGCAGATTGGAATATGAAAGAATACAACTTTGGAAAACTCCTTGATGGACTGTAATAAAGTCAAATATCTGCCTCTCCTATGTCCCGGTTAGTCTACTCCTAGAAATTTACCTGAAAGAAATGAAAGCACATGCATGCGTTCATGACAGCTTTGTTCCTCCCAGCCCCAAACTGGAAACCACACAATGGTTCACCAACAGCAAAAAGGAAAAATGCATTCATACAATGGACTAGCCTACTGCCAAAAAAAAAAAAAAAAAAGGAACTACGTCAGCGAACCTCGTGGTTGAGTGCAAGAAATCAGATGTGCTGTGGGGCGCCTGGGTGGCTCGGTCGGTTGAGGGTCCGACTTGGGCTCAGGTCACGATCTCGCAGTCTGTGACTTCGAGCCCCGCGTTGGGCTCTGTGCTGACAGCTTGGACCTGGAGCCTGTTTCGGATTCTGTGTCTCCCTCATCTCTCTGTCCCTCCCCCACTTGCTCTCTGTCTCTCTCTCAAAACTAAATAAACATTAAAAAAAAAATTAAGACTGTGCCAGGTCCCAGTCGACCTTGGCAGCTCCACGTCGCCGTGCGGTGGCTGCCACCCATTCCCAGGTGGCAAGAGGCAGCCCTTGGGAACGTTCCTTCAGAGCTCTGTTGTTCAAGGTCCTGGATGCTCGTCCGAGGCTCTCCGTTCCCTGCACTGTAGACCAAAGGATCTGTTCAAAATAGGCGTCTGCCGTCTCCCACCCATAAGGATGGCCACTATCAAAGCACCAGGAGATGACAGGTGCTGAGGCAGATGAGGATGAAGGAGCCTGGGGCCCGGCTGGCAAGCATGTGAAATGGTGAGGCCGCTAAGGAAAAGTGCCTGACCTTAAGCGTCTGACTGCCGAGGTGTCCATTTCAAAGACGTCCGCCTCGAGTAAAGGCATCAACAGCTATGGGACAGCTTCTAGCTTCTAGCACCCAGGTGGCCCACATTCATGAAGTTCCCCTTTTAGAAAGCCTTGGGGAAACCTCGACAACCCCTGAGCGAGCCTGCTTTTCCATACTGCACCCCCATTCCCTTCCAACAACCCCCCATTAGATCCCAATAAAGGCAGGACTCCACATCTGTGCTCATGCTCGCTCGCTTTCTCTCCCTACAGCCTCCCCGAGTGGCCCTCGTGTGCCGTGGACCCTCCAGGACTTGTGAGTCAGAGACCTTGGGTTTTCTAAGTTCCCTGAGGGTTGGTGCTGAGGTGCATCTTGCAGTCATTTAAGAAGCAGAAAGGCTGGTTCAGCCACCACAACCACTCTAATGGGGAAACATCTGGGGGATGCTCACCCAAGCGGTATGGGGTCAGGTGAGCGGCCAGCCATTTCTAGCCCACAGCATCACTCTATCAATAGGTTGAGACCCACGTGACACAACAGTTTGGTGGTTTCTTAAAAGCTAACCACAGGGGCGTCTGGGTGGCTCAGTCGGTTAAGAGTCTGACTTCGGCTCAGGTCACGATCTCGTGGTTTGTGGGGTTCAAGCTCCGTGTTGGGCTCTGTGCTGACAGCTCGGAGCCTGAAGCCTGCTTCGGATTCTGTGTCTCCCCCTCTCTCTGTCTCTCAAAAATAAACAAACAAACAAACAAAAAAACGAACCATAGAATTACCCCATGACCCAACATTAGCTTATAGCAGCATTATTTATCACAGCCAAGAAATGGGAGCAACCCAAGTGTCTATCGGTGGATAAAGGGATTAAAAATGTGTGTAAATAGGGATACCTGGGTGGCTCAGTAGGTTAAGGCATCCGACTAGCTCAAGTCATGATCTCATGCTTTGTGGGTTCCAGCCCCGCGTCGGGCTCTGTGCCTCCCTCTCTCTGCCCCTCCCCCACTCAGGCTCCACGTCTCTCCCTCTCTCTCAAAAATAAATAAACATTAAAAAAAAAAAAAAAAAGCAAGACCTAGGGTCACCTGGGTGGTTCAGCCGGTTAAATGTTTGACCCTTGATTTCGGCTCAGGTCATGATCACACGGCACAGGGATAGAGCCCTGTGCTGGGCTCTGTGCTGACAGCCCCTCCCCCACTCATGCACGGGCTTGTGCACACTTTCTCTCAAAACAAATAAATTTTTAAAAAAAGCAAGACCTGGAGTAGTGTATTTTTTTTTTAATTCCAGTATAATTAACATACAGTGTTCTATTAGTTTCAGGTGTACAATATAGTGATTCAACAACCCTATACATTTCTGGGTGCTCATTACGGTAAATGCACTCTTAAGAAAAATTTTTTAAGTGTATTTATTTTGAGAAAGACAAAGAGAGTGAGCAGGGGAGGGGCCGAGAGGGGGACAGAGGATCCGAAGAGGGCTCTGTGCTGACAGCTGACAGTGGTGAGCCCGACACGGGGCTCGAACTCCCGAGCTGTGGGATCATGACCTGAGCCGAAGACAGATGCTCAACCGACTGAGCCACCTGGACACCCCACAGTAAATGTACTCTTAATTCCCTTCATGGAGTGGAATATTTTTATTGGGACCTCTTAGTTAAGCTGGGACTATGTTTCCCTGAATTCCCCCAACCCCCCCCCCTTTTTTTTTTTTTGCGAGTTCTGGATGTGAAGGGGCCACAAAAGGAGTTTTACACGCAGTTTGGAAGGAGGAACTGAAATCTCACCCATACCCTTTCCACGCCCGGAAGGCTCATGCGTGTTGTTACTCACCTGCTCGCTGTCCTGCTGGTGTGGGGCTGGTGGCTGGGCCTGCGTTCAGCACCGCTGTATCTCCTCCTTCAGCTGCTCCTAATTCCGTTCCCGGGGCACGTTTAGATGCGTGACTGGAGGGCTCATGCATCTCTTGCCGGACGCGCTCATCACCAACGATAGAGGCGTGGACGCAGTGACAGAATGGTGTGGGCTGTATCCTCATGGGTTCCACCCATTCTCTCGCGTGACAGTTCGTTCTGGCTCCACACGCACCCCTTCACGTCCCCGTCCCCATCCTGACTGCCCGCCTTGGTGACTTCAGACTGTGCCAGCAGACAGAGAAGACCACTTTGCAAGCTCCCCCAATTACAGGTTCCTAGTAAAACACATCCTAGTCAAATTCCTGCAAGCCACATTGGAAAACGTTCTGGCAGTTTCTCGAAATTCCACTCCTCGGGATTTACTCACAGTAAATAAAATCATATGTCCGCACCGAGACCTGTGTACAGATCTTATAGCCCAAGCAGCCCTCAAAAGGCAAACAGATGAACACGTTGTCGTCACGCAAC